TAATATTTTTGGCTGCAAAATAAGAGCCGAAGATAATGACGAGGGCAGAACTCAAGAGCATTTCGCGCAGGATCGCAGAAATTTACACGCGATTTCAATTAATTTGCGTTTCCTTAATTTTTCATTTTTGTTTTATTTACATCTACATTCGTTGTTCTTCATTTCTAGCCTTTGTCATCTTCATCACCTCTATTCGGACTTTGAAGCATGAGCAACACCTCAAATGTTATTCGCATCAGGAAATTGCGTTGTATTGAACTAACGAGTGGGCCGTTTTTATTTTCATGTTTTGTGGGAATGCGCGGCCTCCGAGGGATGTTGCAGAAGCAGCACAGTTGCTCTTGAGTTCTGGCCCTCGTCATCATCTTCGGTTCTTATTTTGCAGCACCTAAAATGTTATCCGCATAAATTGCGTTTTACTTGTATTCCAAAGCGCAATTACAGGACTTGGCAAAAAGCCAAGAGAGCTGCGCGCGACACGCGCCGCGCGGACGGCTGTTAGCATGAACGGGAGTCTGCGCCGCAAAAGGTATTGGGCGGAGCATGGAGGAATTAGCGTGTTTCACGGTCCTGTATCTCCATTCCTGCGCATGTTAGGACGGGGAAACCGCTACGCTTCGACAGCTGGGGGCTGATAGTCACGCACACCCAAACTACAATACCCGCCGTATTTGTTCGAAAAAGACAAAAAAACGCAGATCCGCGTTTTTTTTCGTTTTTTTGATATAACTCAGTTTGTGGAACTTTTTTGATATAATATCCCATACCGTTAGGCTCAGCTCGTCGAGCTCTATAAGCTGGCATCCTAAAAAACTGAAAAAGTTGAAAATTGAACTCTGCTTCCTATCGAAGTACCTGAGGACACTCGTTAGCGAGCGAGTCTCGCTATAATTGTAACCAGAGGGTAATCGTTGGAAAATCAAATATCACTCAGGAATCAAATAGTGCTGTATAGCGTAAGAATTGATTAGAAATTAGATAGTTGTATCTTCCAAATGATGCTGATCGTAACGGTGCCAATTTTCCTGAAAATAGAAAGGTTCCGCTCAATGTCATTTTTGGACAAGATTTTCCAGCCTTTTCAGTCCGAAAAATCTCGAGCACTGGTTCAGTTCGGACCGCACGAGCACAACGGGCCTAATGTATGGAGCCTGTTTTCCCCAATTATTCGCGAAATTCCAAATTCATGTTCAAGTGGTGTGCCACAAGGAGGAGCACTTTCACCATTACTGTTCTTGATTTACACATTGGACCTGCCAAAAATTCTCAAGGTTCATCCCAGTATTGAGGTTAAAATGTTTGCTGATGATATCAGAATCTATTGTGTTTACGACAGTCATGAGCAACCAGTAAGACACAAAATGCTAAGCTTATCCATCGAGAAGATGGTGAGTTGGTCCACAGACTGGGAACTCCCCTCAATTTGGAAAAAACTGTACATCTCCATCTGGGACCCTGCCCACCCATCCCGTATCAAGTTGATGAAAACATTTAGAATGCTCTGTCAAGGACCTGGGGATTCTTTTTGATGTACGGCTGGCATTTGATGAGCACATTGAGATGGTCGTGAAAAAGGCCATTAGGTGTCTTTTCCTGGTATTAAGGAATGTGCAATGTAACGACCCCAGTCTCCTTGTCAGGCTGTACAACATTTACATCCGGCCTCATCTAGAGTATGGATCCATTGTGTGGAGTCCATGGA